TTATTCTTATGTTAATCCCCATACATTACATCATTAGTTCTAGATGAAGTGTTCCATGATTCATTGTTCGTGCACAACACCCAGTGCTCCATGCAGAACGTGCCCTCCTCAATACCCACCACCAGGCCAACCCATCCTCCCACCCCCCTCCCCTCTAGAACCCTCAGTTTGTTTTTCAGAGTCCATCGTCTCTCATGGTTCGTCCACCCCTCCGAATTCCCCCGCTTCATTCCTCCCCTCCCGCTACCTTCTTCTTCTTCTTTTTTTTAAGTTGTCTGATTCTTAATATTGCAAAAGACAATCTGAAGGAGAACAGTAAGCAGAGGTTGAACAAAATGTTGGAACTATATGTCCATGGAAATTACTTAGTGATTGTGAGTGAAATGAAAGACAATTCCAAATAAATTGTCGAAAAGTTATGTGTGTTTAGTGCAAGTAATAAATGCCTAAATTTGTAATAAAGTGGTAATGAAAGAATGTCTTTTTTTTTTTTTTTGGAAAGAATTTCTTTTATCAAAGAAAATTGATGTTGAATGAGGCACAGGATGGTGATCTCCCTGGGTGCCTGTGACGGGGCAAGCTGGCTGTCTCCAGCTGTGGAAGACCTGCTGGGCCCAGAACCCTCTCTCCCAGCGGGCAGGCCTTCACCCACCCCCACCCGGAGGGGCCTGGCTGGGGGGCCCCCCCCCGCTCCTCCCTCTGGTGGGCAGCGGGATGCCTGTGGGGAGAATATTCAAACACTAAAAGCTTTGAGGCAGGCAGGGCCTCAGATACCATCAGGTCCTACACCCTCATTTGTAAAGTTTAAACTGGCTTCTAATTACCAAATAAATGCCTCTTCACTATATAAAACTTTGGATAATATTTTAAAATTAGAGAAACAGTATCACTTATTCCATGACCCAGACACACTTTCAACATTAGAGCAGGGCGCCTGGGTGGCTCAGTCGGTGAAGCATCTGCCTTCAGCTCAGGTCATGATCCCTGGGATCAAGGTCCACATTGAGCCCCGCATCCAGCCCCTGCATCCAGCCCTGAATCGAGACCCGAAATGAGCCCTGCATCCAGCCCCTCACTGAGCCCAGCCCTCACTGGGTTCCCTGCTCACTGGGGAGTCAGCTTCTCCGTCTGCCCCTCCCCTCCGATCATGGGCAGGGTCGCTCTCTCTTTCTCAAAAATAAATAAATAAAATCTTTGAAAAAAAATGAGCGCATGTTCCCTTTGACTGTTTCTTTTTTTATAGTTCATTTATTCATGAAATGCTATCCTGACTTTTTTACATTAACCTTTTACAACGAGGATTTCCCCCAATCATTACGATTCTTTTGTAAGCATTCTTTCTTTTTTTTTTTTTAAAGATTTTATTCATTTATTTGAGAGAGAGAATGAGACAGAGAGAGAGAGCACGAGATGGGGGAGGGTCAGAGGGAGAAGCAGACTCCCTGCCGAGCAGGGAGCCCAATGCGGGACTCGATCCCGGGACTCCAGGATCATGACCTGAGCCGAAGGCAGTCGCCCAACCAACTGAGCCACCCAGGCGCCCCTGTAAGCATTATTTCTAATGGGTGTGTGGTAGTCTTAGAAATGACGGTACAGCTGCCCGGTCCAGATACAAATAATATTATGGCAAAATCATGGTGATGGTGGCACAATATGGTGAATATGCTAAAAACATTGTATAACTTTAAATGGATGAATTGCATAGTATGTGAATTATATCTCAATAAACTTTTTAAAAAAATTAAGAGGAGGAGTAAACAAGTGCACAGAAATACATGGAGGATTCATAAGACTATTACCTCTACTTTTCTGTACATTTCGAATTTTCTAGAATAAAAAGTTGGATACAGTATTTCCTAGAATTCTCAGAGGTGCCGACCCAAATGTTCTCTGGCCTCCTATAGTTCATGGACCCAGAGAAGGCTATCTGTCCCCTAGATGGGGTGGGGTGGGGCTGTTTCACACACAACCCTGGCCAGGGCTGGCCCCTTTTGCCATCTTTTTACTCCACTGACGCTTCTGCCCCACTCACGGGCTGCTCGGCTAACCCCTAGCCACTGGGCCAAAAGTGGGCCTCTGCCAGGGCTCCGACCCCCTCCCCGGCCCCTCCCCCACACCACTGACCTCTCACGTGTCCTCCCCTCCACCCAGTAGGAAGCCACCTTCTACCTGTCACCATCAACCCTGTCAGCAGAGCAGCTGGGATCCCAGTGACCCAGCCCAGGCCTCTGCCTCTCAGCCAGACCCACACTCTCCCAGGGCTGGAAAGCTCAGGCACAGCCTCATACACCACGCAGGCCCTCTGGCTCTCTCGCTTCCAGATCCAGCTGCTCAGACTGGCTTTTCTACTGACCCATCTTCCTACCTCACCTCGCTTCCTGGCTCTCCGACTTGCCAACCATCTTCCAGAAACCTCCGCCTAAGCTCTAAGAAGTTCGGACTCTAAGTGACACTGAGTTCCTTCCCAAACGGCGCCTGAGCCCCAAGCAAATCCAGGGATCTCTGTATTGGGGCACTTGCGTGTCTGGTCCCTGAGCTTTGCCAAGCATTAAAAAGCCCTGGAGAGGTTCTGGAACTCTACAACAGTTAGGAAGTGGGTCCAGCCAGTTACGTGGTTCTGCCTGATGTCTCACACGTGTGTGGTCCCTGACTCAGCCCCCATTCAGAGCTGTATGCAGCAGGGCTTTTGGCATGAACTACGAAGGGTGGCCTCAGGGAGAGAAGGCTGGAGGAGGAACGGAAGTCAGGCTGGGACAAGCAGGCCTGGAGAGGAGGAAGGGCTCCACAGGACACATGCTAGAAGCAGAATCACCAGGACTTGGTGACCAGGTGGATGTAAGTAAGGGTTAAGGAGATTTCCAGGTTGGGGCACCAGGTGAAAGGTGATTCCTTAGCTGGGATAGAAGGTAAAAGAGGAGCAAACACAAGCGTGATTGTTGAAACGGAAGGCCTGTGGATGCTGCTTCCGGGGTGGAGGTGCAGAGCTGGAAACTGAGGCCTAGAGCCGGGGTGAGTCGGGGTGAGCCTCTGCCAAGCGTGAGAAGCCGCGGTAGGCACGGCTCAGAGGCATCCTTCAGAGACAGGGTGACCGACCACATGGCCCAGTCCTGGTTTACACCCGCTGTCCTAGAGTCTGGTTAATGCCTATTGTTCCACCTGGCACCTCCTTCACTCAGAAGTGTCCTCGTCTGGATGACAAATGCTGTGGTCACCCTACTCAAGAGAGCCTGCAGGGCAGGGAAAGAAAAGTGACTAAGTCAGGCTCCTTTCACCCACTTGCTTCTCTCGGCCTCCTCATCCTCCTACCTCTGACCCTCCATGCCTGCCTTAGACGCCTGCATTTTCCCCTTGCTCTACCTTCTTCTTGCCCACTTCCCCAGGAGCGTGCTCCTCCCCACCCCACAGACCATCCAGGTTAGCCCAAGTCACAGCTGTGGTGGCTGAAGGAAGGCGAGCCCGAGGGCCAGCCGCTCAGCCTCGGGGCAGTGGACATGGAGGGAGGCGGCCTCGGCTGGGCTGCGGGCCCGCGGGCCTGGTTATGGAGTCAGCACTGGCGGAGGCCGGCCTCCTCTGCTTTCCTGTTTTGTTATCTTGGAGCCAGGCATTCCTGCTCTTGGAGTTGCCCTTGCTTCCTCTGCAAAAGATGGAGATGCGACAAGTGATAGAAATGTCTTCCCACTGTGAAGTTGTGTTCATCTTCTCTGGTGCCACTGCTCATGGGGCTCAGGTCACACGATGTGGGAGGTCAGTCCCCTCCAAGAGAGGGTTTGCATGCACCTGTGTGGGGGTCTCCCTGGGTTGGGAGGCTGAGGACTAGAGTCCATGGAGCCCTTTAAGGACCAGCTGGGGCTAAGGCCTACTTTTGGCGGCCCAGGCCCCTCCGCAGGCCTGCACCCGCCCCTGCTCACCTGCAGAAGGCACCGCAGACACATCGAGGGCCACGGGGGTCCTCTGGCAGCGCGTCCCCCGCTGAAGCCACCGCACCTTCTGGAAGGGCTTCCCAAGAGGAGGTCCCGCACTGGAGCCACAAGGGGTTGGAAGGAGGAGGTGTGGACAGCAGAAAAGGAAGAGCAACTTAAGGGAAGGGGAGACGGGACAATCCGCCTGAGAGAGGAGACTCCACCACCAGTCACCTGCTTGGGCCTCAGTCGGAGCGGTTGTGCGTGGCGTGCTGTCTGTGTGTGCTGGAGCTATCCGGCCGCAGGACCCGTGAAAATCGGTTCCAGGGCACTGGGAGCTTGGCAAGTGCTCTTTAGTGGGGGCTCGGGGTGGGGGGGGGGTGCGGCGAGTATCGGGGAAGGCAGTAGGGTTTTGAAGTCAAACCAGGACATAAGCCGAGCTGCCACTTGACCTCTCTGAGCCTCAGTTTGCTCATCGGTAAAATGGGGTTAATGAGGCGGCCTCGCCGGGCTTTGTGAAGCTGGAGGTGATAGATGCCATGGCAGCCGCGACCGCAGCTGCCGAATTCTGCGCAGGAGCTTCGGGAAGCGGAGCGGACCCGGGGTGGGCGGTGGCACAAGGGGCCGAGGAGAGGCGCCGCTCCCGGCGGAGAAAGGGGTTCCAGACGCACTCGGCGGGGTAGAGGAAGCTGCCCTCTGCCCCCGACCCGGAGATGCCGCCGCGCGTCTTCCTTTTCGTTCCAGGCGCCCGCCCGGGGTCCCCGGTCCTGGGCTGTC